CGCTAGGGGGGGGGGGGGGGGAAGCGCCTGATGGGGCCTCACCGAGGCTTTGGGGCGCAATTGTTTGCGTGTTTTGGCTGCTAGGCCCCTGGCTGGGGCCATTCATGGTTCGGATTTGTGCGGGGTCTCGGACCGAGAGCTGCTCCACCTGAGGCGCATGGCCACGTCCACGGTGAAGCCTAAAGCTCAAGGGAGATCGCTTAGCGTCTTGCGCCCTCTCTCGGATGATCCCACGTGGCGTGGGAGTTGCGCCCCCGTCATCGGATAGGCCTGGGAGGTCTGGGCCCTGCGCGCCCAGGCTTTCCCCTGGACCATTAGTTGGACCGTTCGTTGGGACGGTCTCGGGGCCGATCTGCGCTTGGGATGTCGCTTTACAGTCTCGGATGGACCATGCCTAACTGCTGCGCGATTGTCGATGGTTTCGGCCGCGAGAGCCCTTTCGACCCCCCAGGCTGGTCAAGCTCTTTTGCAAGGAAGCGGTTTTGAGGGGGGCTTGAAAGGGGCTCGGGGGACAAGCACGGGTGCGATTTCCGATTGGTGGGGCGCGGCGGAACGGCCCCTGCCCTCCAGAAAGGTTTCGGGGACAACGAAAGGTTGGATTCAAGCTCAGGCCACAAAGGCCTGCTGGACTGCGAGCGGCGTCGCGGCAGCAGGCTGCGAGTTTAGCGACCAGTGCGGGTTGCGCGGCACGGCCCGCGACGCTTCGTTCTACATGCTGTATGAGTGCCCTTGTGCGCGGGATGTTAGAGGCGGTATTAGGCAGAAGTCTTCGGAAGGAAGCGCTCGAGTTAGGTGCGAACCATATGGGCATTCGCTTGTGCCTTTATGAAGCCTTCGGACACCCTGGAGACTGCCCCACCGCCGCTTACCGATGGAGGTATGAGGTTGTGGAATGGTTTTGCGGATGCCCTTCCCGACCGACCCTGCCAATCCTGCCGCTGCCCCCTCCGCTCCTCTCTCCACAGGGCTCTGATGGCACCTTGTTTAATGGGTGGCTCTTGCCGCAGGCGCATTGTTCGCGGTTTGTCTCGGGCTGGTTGGGCCGCGGTTGCGGTCTCAAATTCGGGCGAGCGCCTCGGGGTTTAAAACGGCCTTCTTTGGGCTCCGCGGCCTCAGGCCCCCCCCCCTTCCCCAGGGTGCGGAGCTTGGGTCCTTGCCTGGACTTCAGTTCAAACCGAGGGCCCTGCCCAGTGTTATTCCGATTGTGCCAATGTAGTTCGTTTGATGGATCTTGGACCTGCCAGTGGTTGCAGCGCGAAGCGACAATATGCAAGCAGCATCATCCAAACGAGACATTAGTTTGGGCCCAACCTTGAGTCGATCTCCAAGGTTGACGCCCCACAGAGACATCCACGAAGCAGGGCAATGAGCGCGTGAGAGATTCCCGCGCCAAGGGAACGCACCCTGACATCTCGCCTGCTGAGCACGAAGTTTTAAACCATCATCTTGAAGTCTCGCGAGCGGTCTTGCTTGCGGGAGCTGAGCTGTTGCCACTTTGGCCGTAACTAGAGTTCAGGGGCCTGGAGCGTATCCCGCCGCTGTCTGCCCCCGTTGCTCCTGTTTTTGAGCTCGTCCACGGCTGGTCCCAACAAGGCTCGCGTTGGCGTTGTCGCGTGCGCGTCCGTGGGTCGCGGGCGTTGTCCAAGCCGGTTGGAGGACAGTGCACGGGCCGTCTCGTTTGGACCAAGGACAGTTGGAGAGACTGGACCACCGTGTCATTGCCTTCCCTTGCAGTGACGGTGGCCACCTGTTCTTGCGCATGTCGTGCAAATTCTATAGCAGTGGGGGTCAGGTTCTGGGCCCCGGCCGTAAACGCGGCCCCCCTACGGTGACGCGCGTGGAGAACATACGCCGCTTCCGTATAGGCCAGCACCCTGATAAGGAGGGTGCGTTCGTCGACATTGACGAATTGATCCCAATGTTATAGATTACAGGTAATTTGGACCTGCCCATCCAAAGCGTCCCTGGCTGATGCACACAGGTCACCTTCATTCCAGGGGCATGTGCGTTGCTGTCAAAAAAAAAAGGAAGGGGAAGGAGGAGGAGGACGAGGAGGAGGAGGAGGAGGACCAGGAGCAGGTGCAGCAGCAGGAGCAGGAGCAGGAGCAGGAGCAGGTTGCATCAGGAGGAGGGGGGAGGAGGAGGACGAGGAGGAGGACAAAGAGGATGGAGGACGACCGGCCGACCGATCTACCGACGACGAAGACTCCCGGACAGCGGGCGACGACGACGGCGACGCATTCGCGGGCGGCGAAGAGAAAACATCGCGGACACGACGCGCATCCAACCTATCGCGTCCCAAACCAACCTCGCCGGCTGCCAACATCGCATCACAACAACGACAGGAAGCAGCGCCCCGAAGGTGCCCTGCCGAAGAAATCGCTGGACAAGGTCGGGGCGGCCCGGTCTTGGGCCCCGTTGTAACGTTTCCGCTGCATCTGGCGACCCCTGCGAAGCTTTTCCCCGTTGCGTAGTACTGCCAGTGTCGAAAGCAATTCCCCACAGACAAGAAGCCAAGTGATAGCCGTCTTGCGGGCTCTTGACGAGTAGAACCATCTCGCGCGCTTCGCCCGCGCTAGCCATCGGCGCGCCATGAGGCCAATCATACAGCGCATCTGTCTGGCCGTGTCCGCATGAACGAGTCCTTAGCTTGAAAGCGCACGCCTTGGCCACTGAAGTCGCGCTGGGGATTGGTATTCGCAGCGTTCCTGGGCCAGTCTTTTGGTCAGTGGTTTTGGGCCTTCCTTCTGGCCGATGCGGGTTTCCAGGACCATTTTTGAGCCACGCGTTCGCAACGCAGGGGAACCCAACAAAGTGGGGGCTGTTAGTTCTGACAGATGTGGCGCTCTTGGATATCCTGCGCGGGCACTCTGGCGACTTCTCGAGCCCGCGGTGCATTGCTGGAATTTGCCTGGGGCAGCCTGGGAGCGTCCTGGGACCGTCGCGAGGTCCTCCAGGGAATTTCTGCACGCTCTGGGGGCCTCCTGGGGAAACTCGGGCGGGTCCCGGAAGGCTCGCAAAGGAGAGGCGCCATTTTGAAGACCGTGGGTGCCGCGTCGTGCTGCGGCCGAGGGTTGCCAGGGCCCCGCGGGCAAGGTTTTCCTACCGCTCCGCCCTGGTTTGGCGATTTCGTCGGCTTCGTGTGGCGGGGGTGGCGCGTGGGGAAATCGCCAAATCAGGGTCTCTCCTCTTGCTTAAAGAAGCATCGCGATTGTGGATGTTTCAACCGCCGTAACAAAAAGGACAGACAGGGTGGGCGGGCCGCGCAGGCGAGAACATGGATGAACGGACTGACGCCGCCAGCCCCCATCACCATTTTGGCGCGAGCCGCCTTGCATTTTTTTTGATCTCCCCCGCAGCGCAGCTCAGCCGTAGAGAGCCCAGCCTTGGCCGCCATGGGACCCGCGACGGGCAAACACGAAGACGCCGTCGACGTCGCCAGCCTGCTGACCTGGGCGGGGGCTGGTAGAGGCGGCCTCCACCGCGCTGCGCGCGAGCCTTGGCACGGCGGGCGGCGCCCAGGCGTTTACGCAGGAGATCCCGCGGCTCAGCGACGAGGACGCCCATCCACGGCACGCCGAGCACCAGCGCCGCCCGGGCGCCTGCAACGGGCGCGAAGCCCACGGCGGAGCAGCCCGCAGGTCTGGATCTCCTGCTGAGATCGCCCACGACGCCGTCCGCTGGACGTTTCGGCGTTCAACCCTCGCCAGTTGGGGCCCCACCGCAAGCTCAAGTTCAGCGGCATGACCATCGCGCGCGATGGCGCGCTCCAGTCGGAGGAGCTTCTTGGGCCGCCGAAGGTGGCGGAGTGGTTCACGTACTATCGCGTCTTGCGCGCCTGCCTGATCACGCTCAGGGCGGCGTCGCCGACAGGGCTCGGCAGGCGCGCGCCGATGGTCGTCGAGCATGCGCAGCGCTGGTCCGGGAAGGTCTGGGCGATCTTCTACCGGGCTGACGCGCGGATGCGTCTCGAGCACATGCAATTCATGAGGCGGGGCGCCATCGCGAGGATTGCGTCGGACTCCGCCGCCGCCGCGGCGGTGGGCTTTGCCGTGGCGGACCTGCGGGGGTGCATCTGGGACCTCGCCGTGCGGGGGGCGGACCAGTTCTGGGCCCTGCAGCTGGCGGGGCCCGTCGGTCCCCGCATCCTCGCGCCCGACCCAGGCCAGCTCAGCGCGACGTTCGACGGCAGCGCTCAGGTCGCCGGGGGCCTGCAGCAGACGCGCGGCAGCGGCGCTGTCACGAGGGCGGCGGCCCCTCCGAGCAACCCCAGAGGCCTCGGCGGGGGCGGCGGTGCCCAGCGGCCCCGCGAGCGCTGCTCGAGGGAGCACAACGCGGGCGCCAACGGTCGCACGGGGGCGACTCGCAACGGCCGCGGGCTGCGCGAGGAGGTCCAATCGTGCGAGTGTCCAGCTGCAGACGACGGCATCGCCTGTAGTCGCGACGCTGCGCGCGCGCACGAGTGCGCACTGCGCCTCGCGCCAGGCCGCGGCGCCAACGCGGGTCGGGGAACCGCGCCCCACCACCCGCAGGCCAATGGCAAGCGCAAGGGCGACGGGAGAGGAGGCGGCCGCGGCCGCACCCGCGGGGGCCGCACCGAACGGGACGGCGACGCGCGGCGGGGGCCCCCAGCCCGCTGCCGGCACTCCTGGGACTGCACGCGCACGCGCACGCGCACGCGCACGCGCACGCGCACGCGCACACGCACACGCACACGCACACGCACACGCACACGCACACGCACACGCACGCACTCAAGCACACGCACGCGCACGCGCACCCGCACACGCGCACACAGACACAACAACTCGTCGATTCCCAGGAATACGGGACGACGGAAGACCAGAACAGGTTGGAAGACATCGGGGATCCTGGGATTTGCGTGCATTCATATATGAAGCCCTGGGCCCCTTCGATTCGGACGGTCATTCTGACGGAGACCCCCCCTCGAAGGGCCCCCGCTCTGCCAGCCTCTTCCTCGCGCACCCCGCTCTCGAGAGGAGCCAGTGCGGGCCGCGCGGAAGTTGGACGATCAGCAGGCCCAGCGGCCTCGGGGCGAGGGCAGGAGGAGAAAGCCGAGGAGGACGGAGAGGGGGAGGAATCTTCGAGAGGCTCTGTCAGTCACCACTCACCAAACCACCCCAACCCAATCCCAGTTGGGGGGGGCGCTGGGGAACATGGACAAAAACACATGTGGAACACGTAACCGCCCCAACCCGAAGTGGTCTGGTAGGTAGTCCGTCAGAGGCATATTAGGGGTGGCAAGACTGTTCTGGCCCGCATTGTGAGGCGAGCGGACCCCGTCGTCCAGAGGATCCAGGCCGTGAGGAGGAGAAGGACGACGGCGAGGAGCAGAGGAGGATGCAGAAGGCGGAGCGGGACCACATGAAACCCAACGTTCGCTTCTGCCCCGACTTCGGGTTGGGGGGTTGTGCCAGGGCAGAACTAGGGGTGGGCGGGGGGGCATCGCGCGAGTCAGGCGCTTGCGCGCGGCGACATCAGACCCCTCCCGCGGATCCAGCGCGTTGGCAAGCGTGCGCAGAGGCGCGTTTCTTTGTTGCTGCAACTGTGCTGCAATACGCCCACACGTCCCAAGTTTCCTCCCATAATTCGTCCCTGGTAGGTATTCCTTTTTCACTCCGGGGAGTACGCCCTTGAGAGACGAACCCGCCATTGTCCTGTGATTCAGGTGAGAGCCTCGTTCTGACAAGGAGCTGCCGTGCGGGCTTCTAGCTGAAAGGATGGCGACGAGGTATGCTAAACATTCCAGAGGAGTGCCCAGCATGAGACCCGCATTCGAAAAGAACCGCTCTCATTCCGCTCAGCGTTTCTCCAACTTCAGCTTTATGGCCATCAAATCCACGGAAATTGAGGAGCCGCCTTCCATCCGTGTAGTGATTGTACAAGTCTATACGCCTCATCATACAGAGCAAGGACGTATCGGACGGATGCCCCACTTTGAGACGGATTCGCTCTTCATCCGTGTAAATTCTGGAAGTCTTGAAGACGGATGTGCGCGGCGCAGAGGCGAGAGCCACATTTGTTTGAAACATGAGCTGCTCTCCATCCATGTAATCGTCGTTGGAAGCTTTGAAGACGACCGCGCGCGGTGCTAAAGCGAGAGCCATCTTTTGAACAGGAATCGCCCTCCATGCGCGTAGCTGTGAGAATCTCTGAAAACGTTTGTGTGCAGGGCTAAGGCGACGGCCACACTTTGAAAGGACATTCCGTGTAACAGCTGAAGGCTTTGTATCCTTTGTACACGGCGCTGAAGCGAGGGTCACATTCCACAATCAGTATTTGCATTGAAGGGGTCTTACGGGAGGTTGAAAGACTTGGCGGAAGTTCCCGCCCGATTTCGGTGGGTTGCCGAGGTCCCGGGTTCCCGGGTGCAGGGTTCCCCGGTTCCTGCTTGTTGATTCGGGCCGATCTCGGTCGGCGGCGGGGTTCCTGGGTTTCCAGGTTCAGGGGTTCTTTGTCGACCCTCTGATCGATCAGTCTCACCATCGATATCATTACCCACCCTCTATCGATCTCACGATCGATTTCAATGTCGATCTCACAATCAATTGCACTATCGATTTCACAATCGATTTCACTATAGATCGCACGAGCGAACTCACGATCGATCTCACTGAATCGACTTCACTATCGGTCTCACGATCGACCTTGCGTCTCGTCCCCACTATCGATCCCACTATCGATGTCACTATCGACCTCACAATCGATATCAATATCCATTGCACTATCGAGCTCACGAATGATCCCAGCATCGATCTCACTATCGATATCAATATTGCTCTCACTTTCAATCTCGCTATCCATCCAACCACCGGACACCACGGGCCGATTCTGGCACATTCAACTATATGCGTAGATGCACACGTGGAGAATCGAATGTCAGCTTGTGATTAACAAATGGTCAGACCACCCCCAGGGGCTGATGAATAGACCCCGCGGGGCGCGATATTTTGTTTATTTATCACGCGCGCCAGTGGGGATTAGGAGAGAGGAGGGTGAGGGAGGAAGAGGAGGAGAAGGAGGAGGACGAGGAAGAGGAGGAGGAGGAGGGGAGGGAGGAGAAGGAGGAGGACGAGGAGGCGGAGGAGGAGGGAGGAGGAGGAGGAGGGAGGAGGAGGAGGAGGAGGAGGAGGAGGAGGAGGAGGAGAGGAGGAGGAGGAGGGAGGAGGAGGAGGAGGAGGAGGAGGAGGAGGCAGGGCGCAGACATGGCGGGGAAGGGCGGCGACGACGGCGACAGAGGGGGGGAGGAGGACTACCCGCCTTTCTCGGGTCGGACGAAAGGCTGGGGAAGGAAAGGGGTGGTTGCGAAGCCTGCTGCGCGCAGCTGGTTTCGGACGCCCCGCCGAAAGGCCAGTCCTCGACGCATGGCCGCTTTCGGCGCCAGGAGGCGCTTGGAAAATCGGCGATATGAGCTGCTTGGCAAATCCCCTTTGCTGCGCCCCACATTCGTCCAGCCCGCCTTGCCCGCAGGCCCGCATCTGTTCGACAGAAATAGGGGCGCCCTGGCTCGCCGCTGCCTCCAAACACCCCCCACTGGCCCCTCGTTGGCGGCCGGGCGTCGGCGCTAATCACCGGCGCCGCCCCGTTGATTTACAATTTGGCGGGCGCCACCCCGCGATTCGTCCGAGCGGTGGGATTTTTTTTTGGGTAAAAGAAAGCATGCGCCCCCCACGGAATTGTTAATCACAAGCTTATTACATACGTTCGAATACGGCGCATTGTTTGGGGATTTTACAGGTACCTTGGGCAGTCGTTGGTTGGGCCTTTTTGGGTGCCTGTTGGCCCGTCTCGGGGAGGTTGCGGCGGTCTTTCGTTCATTTTGGCGGCCCGAAATGTCAGGAAAATTAATAACAGCGGTTTCTTCGACGTTTCCTCACCCCCTCGTGGCTTCTTCTTGGGCCGTATCGGCGCCTTTCTGGGCCATCCTCAGGCATTGAGAGGCTCCTAGGAGCTTGTACATGGTTTCCGGGTCTTCGATTTTCCTTGATGTTGGGTCTCAGCCAATCCCACGTAATTAAAAGATTTGGCGGGCGTTCGCCGCCGATTTCGGTAGGCGGCCAGTTTGTGGGTTCCGTGGTGTGGGTGTTCCCGCTTCCGGGTTGTAGAATGGTGTTGGCGACGATTCGCCGCCGATTTCTGGACGCGGCCGGGTTCCCGGTTCTTTGTTCGGGTATCCGTTTCGGGGTTCCGATTTGGTCGCGGTTTACCGGCCGTGGGTTCTTGCTACTCTTCCCCAGGTTCCCGAATGGTCTCGGTGGTCGGCTGGGTTCTTGGGTTCCCGGTTCTTGGTGCCAGGGTTCGTCATGTGTATATGTATATATATATATACATACAATAAAAGGGGAGAGGGTTGGATACGGACTGGGTACGTAGATATAAACATGTGAATAAAACGACGAGCGCGTCCTGTGGGCGCTTGGAGGGGGCGGGTTCGGAATCGCACCCCCCTTCCCCTGGATTGAAAGGGGGAGGTTCGAACCCCCTTCCCCCCCTGTCCCTCCTGTAGATGTGTGGTGCTTGGTGGTGGTGGTCGTGGTGATGGTTGTGGTGTGGTGATTGGTGGTGGTGGCGGTGATGGTGGTAGGTGGTAGGTTGTAGGTTGTGGTGGTGGTGGTGGTGGCGGCGGTGGTGGTGGTGGTGTGATGGTTTGTGGTGGTTGTGGTAGTTGTGGTGGTGGTTGTGGTGGTTGGTGGTGGTTGGTGGTGGTTGGTGGTGGTTGGTGGTGGTGGTGGCCTTGTGGTTTTTGCTGTTGGTGGGTTGTGGTGGGTTGTAGTAGTAGTGGTGGTGGTGGTGGTGGTGGTGGTGGTGGTGGTGGTAGTCGTGGTGGTGGTGGTGGTGTAGTGGTTTGTGGTGGTGGTGATGGTTGCGGTGGTGGTGGCGGTGGTGCGTTGTGGAGGTGGTGGTGGGTGGTGGAGGTGGTGGTGGCGGTGTGGAGGTGGTGGTGGTGGTGGTGGTTTGGTGTGGTGGTTGGTGGTGGCCGTGGTGGTGGTAGTGGTGTGGTGATTTGCGGTGGTGGTGGTGATAGGTTGTGGTTGAGGTGGTGGTGTTTGTGGCAGTGGTGGTTTTGGTGGTGGCGGTGGTGGTGTGGTTGTTTGTGGTGGTGGAGGTTGTGTGTGTTTGGTTTGTGGTGGTGGTGGGTTGTGGTGGTTTGTGGAGGTTTGTGGTGGTGGTGGTGGTGGTGGTAGTGGTGGAGGTGGTTGTGGCGGTGGTGGTGGTGGTGGTGGTGGTGTTGTGGTGGAGTGTGGTGTTGGTGGTAGTGGTGGTGGGTTGTTGTGGTGGTGGTGGGTTGTGGTGGTGGTGGCTGTGGTGGTGGTGGTTGTGTGTTGGTTTGTGCTGGTGGTGCTTGTGGGTTGTGGTTGTGATGGTGGTGGTGGTGGTGGTAGTGGTGGTGGGTGGTGGTGGTGGTGGTGGTGGCCTTGTGGTTTGTGGTGGTGGTGGTGGGTTGTTGTATTTGTGGTGGAGCTTGTGCCGGTGCTGGTGGCGGTGCTGGTGTGTTGCTGGTGGGTGGTGGGTGGTGGTGGGAGTGGTGGTGGCTGTGTTGATTGTAGTGGTGGTGGTGGCGTGCTGATTTGTGGTGGTGGTGGGTTGTGGTGGTGGTGATGGTCGTAACGGTGGCCGTGGTGGTGGCGGTGGTGATGGTGGTTGTGGTGAGTTGATGGGTTGTGGTGATGGTGGTGCTGGCTTCTGGTGGCGTTTGTGGTGGTGTTGGTATATTTGTTTGTGGTGATGGTGATGGTTGTGGTGGTGGTGGGTTGTGGTGGTTGTGGTGGTGGTGGTGTTGGCGGTGGTGGTGTTGGTGGTGGTGTGGTGGTTTGTGGTGGTGGTGGTGGTGGTGGTGGTAGTGGTGTGGCCTTTGGGTCTTCCCGCCACCGTGCTTTGGCTCAGAGTTCTAATGGATGCCTCTTGGGGTCTCGTCAGAGGCGTCCCCGTCTGAAGAGCATTTGTGAAGCCTCCTGGGCGCCTCTTGGGCGTCTCTTGCACCTTCCTGAGGGCCTCCTGGTTGCTTTCTGGGGGCGAGGGCTCGATGCAGCGATTTGTGTTTCCCATCTGCGGCCTCTGGGTCCTCTCTCCTCTCTGGTCATCGTCCCTGCGTCCCCGCCGTCTGTGCTGCCCGTCGCCGCCAGCGCCGGCGCTGGCGCCGGCGCGCGGGGGGGGGGCGTTCGGGGAGGGGCGGGGGGGTAAGGGGAGATGGGCTTCCCCCCCCTGGTTCGAAACGCGCCGCCGACTGTTCCCAAGGCAAGCGCCCGCGAAACGCGCTCTCTCGAATGTGAAGATGCTCAGCACTTACGTATACATATATATATATGTATATATACACCTCTATTTACATATGAATCTATAAGCACATTCACTGATTGTGATTTTTCTCTGGCGCCATTTTGAAGACGAAGCGTGTAATTGTTGGACATGTTGAAGACGGGTGTGCGGAGCGCCAAGACGACAACCACGTTTCGACCCCCCCCCTCCATCCGTGTAATTTCTGGAAGTCCGAAGCTTTGGGGTAATAAGCGGGGAGGAAGTCTCAGGGAGTCGCCCAGCCAGCCATAGCGACACGTCTGGTGGTCAGACGAGGAGTTCGCCACATTCAGCCCGCGTAGTAGGGATGAGCGACTTTTCAGGGTTACCCTTGCATCCTTGCTCCCTTGCTCCTTCGGGCCATCCTTAGCGACTTCCGCTGGCCAATCTTCTTCGAGAAACGTTAACATGGCCCTCCAAGGCCCTTGCATCCTTACAGCGTATCCTCATTTTCTCTGGTTGACTGACTGTATACGGAACTGGATGGAGGAAGAGGAGGTACTCATACTTGGACGTTTTGGATTGAGGATCCAGGCTTGTTTGGGGTATGACCCGTTTTGGGAGATCCAGTGGCCCCTGGATATTTTGGGGACCTCTGGGCTCTCCAGGCTTCACGGACCTCTAGAGGACCCCATCCTCCCCAGCCTGCTGGCGATTCGAACAAGCAGTTCTAGACGCTCGCGTATCCCCACTTGTACCCGTGCTATTTTGGCTGCGCTGCAGTTTTGCTGCTTCCCGCTCTCGTGCGTTCTGCTGCCTTGAGACTGTGCGGCTACGGCCACCCTGGGATCTCGCAGCCTGCCAACGCTCTCGCATCGTCTCGGCACCAATTCGACCTTGACCGACGGTCCTTCGGGCCACCCTGGTACTCACGCGGTTGTCCGGGGTTGCGTCCATGCATTCATTTCGGCTTCTGACTCGGGTCGTCGTGTGTCCCGACTTCCTGGTGCTCCCGACGCTATTCATACTTGCTCGCTGGCAGTACGAAACTGTTTCAGCTGCCCCCCCACTCGCCGGTCCGCCGCTGAGCTGCTGTGTGAGGTCCCGGTTAGCCGCTGTAGGTGTGGCCACCCTCCGTCGCTTTAGTTTAATTCGTCGCTGCGTGCCCCGCTTTGACTGGACTCGCCGCCGGCGCGCTCGCCCGCGGCCGCTGACTAAAAAAGTATCCCCACCAGCCCATTCAGAAACGATGTCCAGGCGAGTTGAGGTGATCAGGGAAGTGCGGCAGCAAAGAGGAGGACGGCCGAACCGTGCAAAGGAGTGAGGAGGAGAAGGAGGTGGATGGATGGATGGATGGATGGATGGATGAGGGAGTGGGAAGAAGGATAATTCATAGGACGAGGAGGAGGCGGAGGAGGAGGAGGAGGAGGAAGAGAAGAGAAGGAGTAGGAGCAGGAAGGAAGAACAGGAGGAGGAGGAGGGCAAGCACACGGGCCAGAGGTCTCTTGGATGCCTCTCGGAGCCTCTTGGGGTATCTCTTGGGCTATTCTTGGTGGCCTCTTGGGACGTCAAGGGGGTCTCTTGGCGATCCTGGGGGGCTCTTCGGGGTCTTGGGTGCTTCTGGGGGGGCCTCTTGGGGCCGCCTAGGGTCTTCTTAGGGGGCCTCCTTGGGGCCTCTTGGGGGCCTCTTGGGGCCAGCTTGGGGCCATCTTGGGACCTCTTGGGGCCTCCTGGGCGCTTCTTGGGGCCATCTTGGAGGAGATCGGTCAACGAAGGGGGGTTCCTCAATTACTCCCCCCCCCCCAGGAGGCCAACATGGGGCCAAAACCTTAGTAAAATCAGTGATTGTGACTTCCTCGCCGAGGCCGTTTTGGACGCTCTAACTGCCCGCGCCCCCCCCCGTCCAGGTCCACGGGGAGGGGGTAGGGGGAGGGGTCCGCCGCCAAGTGTACTATGTATTGTTTTTTTTTTTGACAGGGATGGTGGAGGGGGTGGCGCATCGGGTTGGTTGCGCATGTTCCGAATTTGGAGGCAGAGTGTGGTTTGCATTGGTTTCTACCAGGAATGGTGGGGGGGGTGTCGTCATGGACCCTGGTTGGCCCCCAGTCGCCTGGGGGAGGGGGTGTTTATTAATAGGGAACAGTGATAAACCCCTCCCCGAAGGGGAAGAGGGAGGGGTGGCAGAGGAAACGCCCTAAACCACCGACGCCCAGAGGGCTGGTGGGATTCGCCGGAAGCCATGCACAGTTTTCAGCATGCAGATGTTTCCTCGTCATCCTCGCACTAGTCCTGAGTCCTGCGCCTCCTCGTCCTCCTGCTTGCCTCGGCTGCCCCCCTTCGTCCTCCTGTCGCTCTCCTCTTCCCCCTCCTCCTCATCTCCCTCCGAGGCAGAGGAGACGTCGCCTCGTCCTCTCTTGATCGACCGGCAGGCTGCCGCGCTGGCTCCCTGAGGCGCCTGGGCCGTGGAGGCAGACGTCGCTGTCTGCGCGGCCGCCGTTCCATGGGGGTCTTTGCGCCTGGGCCGGCTTCAGCGCTGGACACGGTCGAGTCCGTGACCTGCCCCGCCTTCCGCGCGCCATTTGGCGCAAGGGGCGAGTTGAAGGGAAGCCTGCGCCACACGCAGACGAGGTCGATCGACTGCGTGCCGCTTGCAAGCTGCTCCTGCCGGTACCAGGGAGCGGCGGGAGGCGGGATTTGGAAACGTCTTCTAATTCGCAGGCCTTGCTGAACTCGCTGGGAGCAATCACGGGTGCGTGTCTTGCTGAGTCTTCCGGCGCAGCCCGTTATGTTGTGCTTCCGCAGAATTCATTTTGGATTGGATCAGTTCGATTGTCTTTCTTTTCAACTGTATGACCCGCTGCGCCTGGGAGGCGTTATTTGTATGTAATTCGAAGGGGAGCCCGTGCTCATTGCAGACATGGTGGATCCACCTCCGCCCTCTTGCGGTACTAGGAGGTTGTTCTGACCGTCCTTATGTGTGCGAGCGGCGGCATGCATCGAAAAGGTTGATTCAAGTTCACACGCATGTGTGCGCATGCGCCGCGGAGGGACTGGATGGGTGAATGCGAGGTGTTGCGGGAGCTCACACGCAAGCATGGACAGTCGTCACGGGTCGGATTCACAATGTGTCAGGTGAGAAGGAGGTGAAGGGAGGAGCGAACAGCAGGAGGAGGTTAATGAGTACGCCGCATGGTGATTTGTTTCATGCATGTTTAGTTGGGGGCCACTGCGTGTTGTTCGGGTGGTGGGCGTTTCAGACAGGCGCAGGCAAGATGGGGAAAACACTATAGCTGAAATACAGCAGAGTTCCAGCTTCCCTTTTCCAGAGCCTGTGTCCTGCCTGTCCGAATCTTCCCCTTTCCGTTCACAACAGCTCTCGTGTTCTTCATTTTCAGTATTTCGCACGCTGAGCTAGGAGATCTGCTCGTCCCTCGCGTCCCCGCTTTGCTCGTCAGAGTGAGGGGGCCCGAACTGCCTTGCTTTCTTCCTGCACGCGTGGCTGGATGGAGGGCCAGGCCTCTGGGGGCGATACTTGGGGGCGATACCTTCGGTCTACACATGGGGTCCACATCTGGGCGCCACACATGGGGGGCTGCACTCCGGGGTCTACAGTCGGGGCCCTGAAGAAGGAACCCTTTTCGTTGGGGCGGGGCTCCGCGTTCCTTAAGTGTTTCACAGTTTGCCCCAGGTTTTCCTTATGTTTTCGATCGGAAATCGAAGTTTAACTTATGGAAAAAGGGGCCTCGTTCCTTATCAAGGGTTCCTTAGGTCTACGCCCCGACTGTACACTTGGGCGCAACTCTCGGGGGCTACACCTCGGGGCTACCCCTGGGAGCTCCACTTGGGGCCCACACGCGTGGAGGCCACTCCTGGAGGCTGCACTCGGGGGCGCCTCGCCCGCGCCGCCGCCCACCCCCCCCACCGCTCTTACCCGCAGATGCGGTCTGCTACGCGTTTCGAATCAGGAGCGACAAAAGGACGTACACGTACATGAATCCACGCTGGTTTCGAGAGTACGCATTGCGTAAATGTTCGTATAACGCGGCTGGTCTCGCGGATCGAGGGGCCGTGTTCATGTACATTAGCTGGGCGCGTACGTCTTTTGTGGGCTCGCTATCCTAATCCATCCTCATCGTTCGCCGCCTCCATCACCGTCGCACCCCTGCTCGTGTCAGGCAAGCCTCGGGTCGAGATACATCGGTCCAGAGCATGCCAGAACGCTCTCCGAGCGTTCCAGGACGCTCCGAAGGGGCCGCGGCGCTCGATACATCTTGCGATGCCGCCGGCTGTCATTGTTTTCCCACATGTGCATTGGTCTGATGCTGACTCGACCCTGCCTTCGTCTTATCTCGCCTGCCGCCGAGCCTCGCAGGCGTGGGCGGGGGTCGGAGTCGGGCGCGGCACCGCCCCCGGGAGGGCGCCCGCCGGGCCCGACGGCACGCGCGGCAACGGCGCGTTCCCTCTCCACGCGCTCCCTCCTCTGGGCGGGAGGAGCCCAAGTCGAGGGAAGAAGTCGGAGTCGGGCTAAGAGGTTCTTTGCGAATGGGGTCTCAGAGATGTGTACACAATGCTTCTCACGTGCGTCGTACAAGATCAGCACGTGGCTGCCACGCGTCATGCGCCACAGGGTTAGTTATTGCATCTTTTTGCGATCCCATCACGAAAGATCCCCTCTGCCCGGAACTAAAGAAGCACGTTGACCATGACTTAGATGTTGTTGGATCTTGTCGACGTCGATAACGGTCACGGTTCAGAGGAGGACAAGGTATTGATGCCGCTACCTTTCCCGCGTTTGCACCTTTTTGGGCCTCCTGGGAGGCCCTCGTCGCCACCGCTGGATTCGCCTCGAGGTCCTGGTCAGCACGCACCTTGGGAGAGGTTCGGAGAGCAGCGGTATCGGTACCTTGTGGGTTCTTGCAATAGCCGATGCTGGCCGCCTCCGCTCCGCGAGGGTGATCTGCGCACTGGCGCTGACCAAGATGGACGGTCGCCGAGATCGACACCGACGTCTCCGCGCTCGGTCTTGGTCGCCGTCCTCCTTGTTTTGTTTGCCTCCAGGAGGCCAGACCCTCGAAGGTCTGGGCGGGGCTCTTTCGTCGAGCTTGGCGTGTCAGTTTCGGGCCCCGGGGGCCGTCGAAGGAGAGCTCGGGGTAAGAGAGCCAGGCCGCGGGCCCTCGCCTTCGAAGCACCGTGAGGTCAGAGGAGAAGGTTGGAGGGGGGCCTGTCGACGCATTGTCGACTCGATCCAATCCGATCCGATCCGATGCCGATTCTGGCTTGCGCCATCTGGTTCGGTTCCACTGCTCAGGTGATCCGATGCGGCCCGATGCCTGCGTTGCGCTGCTGTGCATCCTGGCGCAGCCCGATCCGACGCACTGTCAGGGGTCGATCCGATTTCACATGTCGATGCTGACTGATCTTGCGACGGAAGGAAGTGGCAGAGGGAGCGCGACAGGTTCACGAACTAGTGCTTGTACTTCGGCATTGGGTGTGCGATGCACAGTATTGCTATCATGGTTTTTATCTGTTGCAGGTTTCCGCTCTCGCAGCCCCAGCGTCTATCTCACGGCTGCTTGGGCTCAACCTTGAAAGACTAGCATGGTTGCTGGACCCACCTCCAGCCTCGCGATTGCCATATCTGTGCTGGCAGGGGTGGGATTCCAACCCGGCCAACTGGATCGGCGGCCGCGACTGTTTCGGTCGTTTGGCGGCTGCGGGTGTAAGGTGGGACGCGCCAGAGGCCGTGACATGTTTTTCCGAGCGTGGTTCAAAAGCCCTCGTGTCCGGCCCTGACCCGGAGTTCTTCCACGTCTGCGGCGAGGGCGTGGCGACTACGGGTTGAGGTACCGTCCGTGCTATTGTGGTGTGTTGGTGCCGTGGCCTTGGCGGGCATCCTGTTCGCCGTCTGGAGGGCCTGCGTTTCGCGGGCTAGCAAGGCTCGCAAGCGTTTGCCTTTGTGAGAAGCTTGACTCCAGCTGAGACCATGACACGGCTCGGCGCAACGACGAGGTCCGAGCCAGTGGCGTAGCCGGCCCCTGGCACACGTGGCGTGGCTACCTTGGCTGATGATCCAGGCTGGACGCATGAACGAATCATTTTGTGGCCAGTCGGAGGTCCAGAGTCCGACGAGGTATTCGTGTTCACTCCTGAACATCATTTCTATATCGATACTTTCTCCGACTGCGCGCCGAGTGCAGTCCTGACGGGTCGGAAAGGGTTGCCCCGTGGCGCGTCGCAGGTGGTGGCTCTCAACCGCGACCTGGATCCCGAAGAGATGCTGGAGTTGATCAAGCCCGCCCGCGGCGAGGCGGTCAACCTCATGGGCGGCGACAGTCCGGATCCAGGCGTGGCAGAGGCCGTGGAGTGGCGCGGCCAGCGGCTGCTTGTGCCAGCATGGCCTGGACAAGGATTCGGGCGGCAGCTGATCCCCGATAGAGTACGCGACGGGCGAGGAGATTGGCAGCTGGTGCGAGAATCGGTTGGCGGCGGCGGACAAGTTGCGGCCGCCTCGTGGGCGGGTACCTGGGCTCGGCGAGCGGCTTTTCGGTGAGGATGCTGATGGCGTGGGAGGCACGCTTGTCCCTCTCGGTGGTGGCGACGCTCCGGCGCTGGGTCACTCCGGCGACGGCGCAGGCGACGACCTCAGGACCTGTTGGATCGGTGTTGGCGAGACGGTTCAAAGAGTGGCGACGGGTTGTGCATGAGAGCACGCAGGAGGTCTTCGCCGACGCGGCCATTCGCGGCCAGCCATCATGTCTGGAGGTGTGTATGGAGATGTGCCGCCACGGTGGCGCTCCCGAGACTTGTTTCCAGGATTGGCGCAATGAAAGTGGCACCAACCGCAAGGATAGTGTGTGCCACGAGGTGTAGACCTTGATCGAGTGCCTGCACCTTGCGGGGACGCACGACCAGGTGAACGCGGGGGCCCTCGCGTCGCTGGAGGTGGTCGCTGAGGCCTGCGCCTTCGGCGCCGACCAGGCCAACTGGGGGACCGCGAATCACCTGTCGGGCACCAGCAACCCGCTCGACCTGGTGCCAGAGGCGCTGCGGAGCTGCGCGAGTCGGCCGTCCAAGGAGCAGCACGAACTCGAGGCGCCGCGGTCGCGGGCGCGGCGACCCGGCCCCAGGCCCGCGGATGGGTGGTGGGCGGCCGCCGCCGCGGCGAGCGCTGGAGGGTTGCCGAATGCTGGGGCCGCTGCTGGCGATGAAGAAAATGACGCTGGCAGCGTCGCCGGCTGCGGAGCTGGGGACGGGCGAGGTCGAGTTGGGCAGGGCGCGGGCGCCGCCGCGGGCCGGGCGATTCGCCGCGCAAGCATACGCACGAGAGCCGCATTAAAAAACGACCCGCCATCAACCCGTGAAGCTCTTGCAAATGTTTCAAACGAGTGTGCGTAGCGCTAAGGCGAGAGCCACATTTTGACAAAGACCTGCCCTCAATCCGTGAAGCTCCTGCAAGTTGTTAAAACGACTGTGCGCGGCGCTGAGGCGATAAGGCGAGAGCCACATTCTGAAAACGACCCGCCATCCATCTGCGCAGCTGTTGTCACTTCTTAAGCTTCAAAGTCATAAGTGGTGAGGAGGTTTCGTGCGAACCGCCCGGCCCGTCTTAAATACTTGCTGACGGGTGAGACAGGGAAAAGTGATATAGAAGGGGAAGGAATGGAGGAGGAGCAGGAGGAGGAGGAAGACGAGGAGGAGGAGGAGAAACGAGGCAGGGTCTATACGCATCAAACTTTAGTGTCCCGCCCGCCCGAGACCCGACTCGCCCGATAGGTTCCGCCCGCCCGACCCGTCCGATAGGGTCCGCCCGTCCCGACCCGCCCGTTCGGGTTCTGATGTTGTGCTGTTTACGCATCAGATTTTAGTGTGCCGACCAGACCCGCCCGTTAGGGCACCGCCCGCCCGACCCCCCCTAATGGGTCCGCCCGTCCCGGCCCGCCTGTTGAACTCTCGTGTGTCATGCTGTATACGCATCGTAGTTTAGTGTCCCGCCCGCCCGATCCGACCCGCCCGTTAGGGGTCGCCCGCCCGACCCGCCCGAAAAGGTCCGCCCGTCCCGACCCGCCCGTTCGGGTTCTCATGTGTCATGCCGTATACGCACCAGATTTTAGTGTGGCGCCCGCCCGACCCGAGCCGCCCGTTAGGGGTCGCCCGCCCGACGCGCCCGAGAAGGTCCGCCCGTCCCGACCCGCCCGTTAGGGTTTTCATGTGTCATGCTGTATACGCATCAGATTTTAGTGTCCGGCCCGCCCGACCCGACCCGCCTGATGGGGGTCCGCCCGTCCCGACTCGCCCGATGGGGTTCTCATGTGTTATGTTGTGCACGCGTCAGACTTTAGTGTCCCGCCCGCCCGAGACCCGACCCGCCCGATAGGGTCCGCCCGCCCGACCAGTCCAATAGGGTCCGCCCGTCGTCGTCTTCGTCGTCGTCGTCGACGTCATCGTCGTTTTCGTCGTCGTCGTTTTCGTCGTCGTCGTCTTCGTCGTCGTCGTTTTGTTGTCGTGTCGTCGTCGTCGTCGTCGTCGTCGTCCTCGTCGTCGTCGTTTTGAACGTCGTCGTCGTCGTGTTCGTCGTCGTCGTTGCGTCGTCGTCCTCGTCGTCGTCGTGTCGTCGTCGCCTTCGTCATCGTCGTCGTCGTTGTGTCGTCGTTGTGTCGTCGTGTCGTCGTCGTCGTCGTCCTCCTCCTCGTCCTTCTCGTCGTCGTCGTCGTCGATTTTGTGTCGTCGTCGTCGTCGTCGTCGTCGTCGTCGTCGTCGGCAGCGCTGGAGGCGGCGGCGGCGGCGGCGGCTGCCGGTGGCGTGAGTGGGGGGGTCGAAATCCCCCAGGGAGGGGGGGGCTTCCAAAACCCTCCGGGAGGGCCTGGGGAGGGGGGCTTCGAACCCCCCCCTTGACGAAAGAATATGTCGTCGTCGTTTTCGTCGTCGTCGTCTTCGTGATCGGCGGCTGCTGGCGGGTAGGGGGGTGGGGGGTCGAAACCTTCGGGGGGGCCCGGGGAGGGAGGGGGGGGGGGTCGGACCTCCCGATTCTTTTGAGGGGGAGGGGGGGAGTCGTGGGGGTTGTGCAGGGGTGTGGTTCGGGGGGGGGGGTCCCCCCGGTTTCCGACCCCCCTTTCGGGGATTTTTGTTCGGGGGGGGGAGGACCCCCCGGTTCTTTGACCCCCCTGCAGGGATTTTTTCAGCATGGCCGCGGTGGATCACGCTCCCTCGCCCACTCCGTGCCCAGCGGCAGGGCGGACGACATTGCACCACACAGATTGAACCACGCAATTTGCAGTCCGTAGATTCCTTCTCCTGCGAGAGATTGGACTCTGCGTCCCCACCGGGGCCAGGGTCATCGCCCTCTCCGCGTGTTGACTCTTCACCTCTGTTCAGCAGCGCCAGGAGCAGGAGCAGGAGGAGCTGGCGGAGCAGGGGAACTCAGCGGGCCGGCGCCGACAAGAGAGGACTCGGGTCCAGGCATGTGGCCGACGCTGCAGCGGGAGCACCATTCTGAAGCACCTGAAACGAACACAGACATAACAAATCAATAGTTGAACTTCTGCGTGTAAGAAACAATCTGCGGAGTGGGAGGGGTACCTCCAGGACGTAGTCTCATGGGAGAGGAGAGGGTAGCAATCCTATCCTGTCACTGCTGAGCGTGGATGGCGATGGTGAGGATCTGGAGGGGAGTCCCGCGCGGATTTTTGGGGTCGGCTCTGAGCATTCCTCCCTGGTTTTGAACTCCCCCCACCCCCCCAAGTGGAGGATGAGGACGAGGAGAGCGCTCAGGAGGGCGAGCAGGAGGAAGAGGATGGTGTGGTAGAGGAGGAGGGTGGAGAGATAGGAGTGCGAACAGGAGGAGGAGGAGGAGGAGGAGGAAGAGGAGGAGGAGGAGGAGGAGGGCTAGCAGGAGGAAAGGAGGGCGAACGGGAGGAGGAGGAGGAGGAGGAGGAGGAGGAGGAGGAGGATGTGGAGACCGCAGGCTTCGCGCGGGCCCCGTGGCGCCGCCGATGGTCGTCAGGCGCGCGCCCCGCTCTGGGCGTGAAGGGCGCTGCCCGTGGTCTCCCTGGCAGTCCGCGGCCGGCCCTGGCCGGCTACACGTAGGAGCGGCCATGCGCCAGGGTGACCTTTCTTGGTGTGGGTCAACCAGGGGTCGCCAGGTCGCTGCTTGCGATGCGTCGATAGCAAATCAGAGGACCCGTGTATGTCTTCGTCATTCCGTGCTTAGAGTGCTCTAGCGTGAGCTAGCGCCTGGTAACCGATGAGAAAGCATTGCTTTAGCGTCGACGGGCGTCGATTTAGCGTCGAATGGCGTCGGTCGGCTTCGATTCGCAAGCGCCAGCAAGATTGCGTGGAAGGCCCCCATGAGTTGCCACAGAAACCTAAGAGCGAACATTCGCTGGAATTACTTTTCTTTTGCAGGCCAACCAGGGTCTCCAGGTTGTTGAATGCGATGCGATGGCAGCGGCTTGCGTGCTTGGGCTTGGCTCCCCACTCCCCCCCGCCCCCCTGAAGCCGCGCACCGAAGCACCGCGTCCTCGGGGATCCTCGGGGTTCACTCCGGAATGGTGCGAGCACAATACAGCGACGGAAGCCCCTTCATGATTGTCTGCTTCGGGGGGGGCCAAGATCTTGCCGAGGACGGAAAGCTGAGGTCGTGGATGAGGGCGACCGCTCCAGGGGCCCCAGCTCAACGAAAGAAGTCACGATGTCGGAGGTCTGGAAAGGGCTCCTGATACGGCAGGTTCGTGCCGTTCGCAGCCGGCCCCGCCGCGGGCGCTCGAGGTCGAACGCCGCTAGTGGCCCAGCATATGGTCCACCTCGATCCGGTCGATCCGATTGGATATCGATCCTGGCCAGCCCGATCCGACTCGAGTCCGATACTCCGACGGTCCGATGCGGTCCGAAGCAGGCCGCATTGGATGTCTGCGTGGCGCTGTTGTGCATCCTGCTGCCTCCCGGTGCGTTGCTCTCGGCTCGTTGCAGATGCGGCCCGATCCGAGCCACGCTTCGGTGCGATCCGATCTGCCGTTGAGCGATGCTCACGGTGCTGCGTGGCCCGTGGTCCGCGGTCTGGGCCAGGGGGCTGCCCTTCTCCAGAAGGCGGCGCCGGGCGCGGGTGTCGGCGGCGCCCGGCGTCCCCATCTGCCCCATCCGGTCTCGGCCATGCCTCGTGCAGGGCGGGCGCGGTGGGGTCGGACGAGGGGGGCTTGGACAGGATCGCGGCGAGGTGTCGGACGAAGGGCCCAACGGAGGGTCGGGCGAAGGTCGGACGAGACGGCTTGAGTCGCACGCAATCGGCCACGCGCAGAGGTTGGTCGTGAGGAGAAGGAAGGGCTCTTAGAGGGAGGCTGCTTTGCGGAGGGTGCGGGCCTTATCTGTAGATGGAAGGCCAACGCCTGCTAACAGGCAGCCTCCTTCGGAGAAGCCCCCCACCCCCACCCCCTTGCGCGCGCCGCCGAGAATACATGGCCGCGCCTCGCGCCTTCGCGCCGCGAGAGGAGCGCGGTTGGGCGACCTGGCGGGCCCTGGCAAGCCCTTTTTGCGGGGATCTTCGCAGGCCTTCGGAGGGGAAAGGGGAAGCATAGGAGGAGGCGGAGGAGGAGGAGGAGGAGGAGGCGAGTGGAAAACAAGGTCACCTTCGTAGCGGCCGTCCCGTTGTCCCAGCTGTCCTACAACTCGTCGACCTGGCCATCCCAGTAAAATAGGTGTGCGCACCAGCAAGACATCACGCACGCCGCGGCTCAAAGCACCACCTGGCGGCAAAGACAGAAGTGGAGGGCCCCAGACACCCAAATGTTGGACGGAGTCGATCGTCCAGGGTTGGAAGCGTTCCTCAGTTTGCAGCGGCGAAAGCTTCTTCCAAGGGTATAAAATACAGACCCCCCGTCACCTCAGGAGTCAGCTGGGCCAGATTCAGTCCGCACCGGATGGGCTAAGCACGTCAGCGTAGAATTGGTCATGATGATGGAGTGCACGGACCATGACGAGGCCAAAGCAGTCATGGATACTACCGGGATGCTGTATTGGTTTCAGAACGAGCCCATGAAGTTCCGCAGCCATGTCAAGAAGGTAGCGTGCAGGTGATGGGCAGGGTGCATGACTGGGCCCATTCCGATCGCTCCGCGGCTATGCCAGGCAAGATAGCGCAAGGAACGCGCAAGTACACCTGCGACGTTTGCGGCCGTACCGACACAAGCAAGGCCGAGATGCGGACCCACGTGACGCGCGAACATTTCAATCCGCAGGGAGGCGAAGTGGGTCTCGAGGCGAAACAGGCGCCGTATTTGCTTGCACGTCGATGCTGCAAAACCAAGGTGGCATTTGAGACGCAGCGTGCTGTGCGCTGTTGT